CAGCTTTACTCAAGAGAACGATATTGTCTGCATACTCCAAGCTCAAAGCAAAGAATTCGGCAAAACATATTCTTCACTAGAATCCGGAGGAACAAATGTCACCACTTGGTGAAACCCTTCGCGAAGCCGGTCAGCTGTTGCGTCTTCTCGCGATGTAAGCAAAAGTTAGCAAAGCGACATGGAATATCCACATCATGTTTCAGGCTGGAAAGGTTGCTCAGATTGCAGAAGAAGCGAGAAGATAGAGTAGAGAAGTGCTACAAATCTGTGAGATCAGGTGGAATGGAAATGGACTCTACACATTTTTAACTTGACAGTCAACAATCCACTCCGATCACCCGGACGACAACCACGAACACACTGAGGCAGTCAGTGGTTACCATGATGTCACCAAGAGCAACCAAAGCTCGTATGCAGTGAGAATCAATCTCCTCCGAGATCATGACAGCAAGACTCAACTCGAAAGGAAGGCAGTTGATAACTACGCAATCCGACACACCGACAAACAACGAAGACCCAGTGAAGAAGGCGAATTTCCACAAAATCTGCAAACAGTAATCGACAAGATCCCAGACAGACGGCGACAACAAAACTCTGATGGTTGATGTGATCGCTATGCAAACTGGGAGCAGACAACGAACACACATGTACACACAGAACTCATCATGGGTAGAGAGGCGCTCGGTGGAGTGAATGTCATCGGAGAAATATTTGCAGACTTCTGCGTCTACAATGATTTGGACATTGTAGGCAGCGTGCAGAAGCACAAACACATTCACGCAACAATGTCGGCTTCACCAGACGGACACACCAAAACTCCAGTAGAATTCATCTCATTCTCCCGATAATAGAGACGCAACCTACTGGGAACAAGAATTAGAAGAGCAGCAGATGAAGTTTCAGATCACCGTCTAATTCAAGAGATCGCTGGCCAAACATACTCAAACTCTCGCTGTAGATATTCAGGTGACTCTTCATTTTGTCAGCAGCTTTACTCAAGAGAACGATATTGTCTGCATACTCCAAGCTCAAAGCAAAGAATTCGGCAAAACATATTCTTCACTAGAATCCGGAGGAACAAATGTCACCACTTGGTGAAACCCTTCGCGAAGCCGGTCAGCTGTTGCGTCTTCTCGCGATGTAAGCAAAAGTTAGCAAAGCGACATGGAATATCCACATCATGTTTCAGGCTGGAAAGGTTGCTCAGATTGCAGAAGAAGCGAGAAGATAGAGTAGAGAAGTGCTACAAATCTGTGAGATCAGGTGGAATGGAAATGGACTCTACACATTTTTAACTTGACAGTCAACAATCCACTCCGATCACCCGGACGACAACCACGAACACACTGAGGCAGTCAGTGGTTACCATGATGTCACCAAGAGCAACCAAAGCTCGTATGCAGTGAGAATCAATCTCCTCCGAGATCATGACAGCAAGACTCAACTCGAAAGGAAGGCAGTTGATAACTACGCAATCCGACACACCGACAAACAACGAAGACCCAGTGAAGAAGGCGAATTTCCACAAAATCTGCAAACAGTAATCGACAAGATCCCAGACAGACGGCGACAACAAAACTCTGATGGTTGATGTGATCGCTATGCAAACTGGGAGCAGACAACGAACACACATGTACACATAGAACTCATCATGGGTAGAGAGGCGCTCGGTGGAGTGAATGTCATCGGAGAAATATTTGCAGACTTCTGCGTCTACAATGATTTGGACATTGTAGGCAGCGTGCAGAAGCACAAACACATTCACGCAACAATGTCGGCTTCACCAGACGGACACACCAAAACTCCAGTAGAATTCATCTCATTCTCCCGATAATAGAGACGCAACCTACTGGGAACAAGAATTAGAAGAGCAGCAGATGAAGTTTCAGATCACCGTCTAATTCAAGAGATCGCTGGCCAAACATACTCAAACTCTCGCTGTAGATATTCAGGTGACTGTTCATTTTGTCAGCAGCTTTACTCAAGAGAACGATATTGTCTGCATACTCCAAGCTCAAAGCAAAGAATTCGGCAAAACATATTCTTCACTAGAATCCGGAGGAACAAATGTCACCACTTGGTGAAACCCTTCACGAAGCCGGTCAGCTGTTGCGTCTTCTCGCGATGTAAGCAAAAGTTAGCAAAGCGACATGGAATATCCACATCATGTTTCAGGCTGGAAAGGTTGCTCAGATTGCAGAAGAAGCGAGAAGATAGAGTAGAGAAGTGCTACAAATCTGTGAGATCAGGTGGAATGGAAATGGACTCTACACATTTTTAACTTGACAGTCAACAATCCACTCCGATCACCCGGACGACAACCACGAACACACTGAGGCAGTCAGTGGTTACCATGATGTCACCAAGAGCAACCAAAGCTCGTATGCAGTGAGAATCAATCTCCTCCGAGATCATGACAGCAAGACTCAACTCGAAAGTAAGCCAGTTGATGATCACGAAATCCCACATAACTAGGCTCTAACGCTTAGGTTTTTCTGGGGAATTTTTTTTTCCGCGATTTTTTTTTTCGCTGATATGGCATCAGGATGGTTTACTCTTTCTTCGTGATGGTTAATTGATTTTGCCTTTGAGTTATTTTTGGGTTTGTTTTTTTTATATTTTGAGCGTGATTGTGCCTTTGAGTTATTTTTTTTCTCTTCAATCACGTCCTGTTTTGATTTATTTACTCGCTGAATTGACGTCACTGTATATAGGATTTCTTGCGCTAGTATAATTATATTTGTTTTCTTATGGTCTTTCGACATGATTATTGCAATATGGTGCACCGTAGTTTGGCTTATTTCTTTCGAATTTTTCTTGAATCCGACTAAGTCTTCGCAGGGCTACGCAATTTAATATCTTAAATTATGCTAATCAAGGGGATTCCCTGGTGATTGGTTGCCTTTCTGATAATTCAGTATGCCATACTTTCAGGCTCGGATGCTTTTACTGGTTCTATATCAGCAACAGCTTTCATAATCTTGGCCCATGTCTTTCTTTTCGGATCCTGAGTAACTGATAACTGAAGTGAAACGCTATAATACTCACAATCGAAAGCTCACAGAGCTGCATTACTTTTTAGTGTTGATAATACAGATAATTTTAGAGAACTGCACTTATTATTGATTTATTACTACTTTTATTGGTTATATAATCATTAAAAATTCCCTGATCAGTTCAAAATTCTGTGTATCATTTACATTCTGTCGCTGTTCATTTTTCGTATAACTGGACATATTAACAGACAGAAAAGTTGTATTTCGAAGTTTGTGAATTTAGCCAACGAAATGAGATCTCAAATTCATGATTTCTGAGTCGACGATATAGCTAATTATCTAACTGATTCAATGAACCACGAGAAATAAAGACAACAGTTTTAACCTACCAACTTAATGAGGATAACGTAGACTTAAAACGTACTAACGGAATGGCGATTTTAAGCCTCATGTCTCCAGCTTACACCTACTTCTTACGAGTCGTATCACCACATAATATTTAAAATTGGATCGTTCATCCGAAAAATAATGATGGTAATGAATAGACGCACTATAATTAATAATAACAAGATTTAAAAATGCAAGTTGTATTCACATTGGATTTTGTCAGCAGCTAATGAGACAACAAATGCGTTCGTTGTCTCACGTTTTAATCATGGTAATATGGTGGGTAATATTGAGGTTAGCTGCAGTGTTGGGTAAGGAGGGAAAGTAAGTCGGTGATGTTTTAGGTTGCATCGATTGAGATGGCGATGATGAGCCATCACTCTCCTCAATGAGTAATGTCAACGTATATGAAATTATGTTTGAAAAGAGTTGGGGCTGGTCAAACTAAAACATGAAGTCATTGACTGTTGATTTCAGCCATATAGAGAGATGTAGACTACCTGGTTGGAGTCCTTGAGACGATGGGACCAGACACTGGGGACTAAAATGTTGTTCCCAATGACGCATATACATTCACTTCTTATGAACTTCGAGACACATCGAATCCTCACTATTCTCCATTAAATTGTTCTTTCTCCTGCACATTTCTGTTTATTGTTGTTTCCTTGCGTTGTATCCCTTCTATATTTGTGTGCTCATGAAGTGTAGCTGCTGCACTTTTGTGCAAAGTTCTATGTTGAAAACTCAGTGAGTCATACATATGAAGTAATCGAAACGAATAGAGCTATGAAATACACTCGATTTTGCGCTATCTTTCTAAGGAACAAAATTCGTTCTAAATACGGATATTTTGACATCTGAGATTGAAATATTTATATCTCGATATGAATTGAAAACAAGCAACAAATGTTAGCTAAGCAGGATTGAACGAATTCATATCTTTATATAGAGTCCTCAGCTGAAAGTCCTACCGAAATTAAGTGAATTCATTGAATCCTGCTTCATTAACATTTATTTGTTTTAAATTTGAGTTTGTGTCGAATATCACTAGCCTATTAGGATTGATTGTTCCCCTGAACTCTACTATTGCATAGCTGACAGTAAATCAAAGACGAAATGAAAAGAAGATAGCCAGTTGTAGCATCCTGAGGTTCTCAGCCGGACACTTTACAATTCCCTAGGGAAAAAATAACCTAACCGATATTAATAAATACACGAAAATCAAGAAGTCTCAACGCAGCCGGTTACTTAGATAAACACTCATAATAAATCGAAATTCTAACCTACAGTACTTTATGCTCCTCTTTTTCCTCTTACATCCGGACTTGTCTTCACGGTAATGTGTAATTAATTCGATTTACACCATTTATCTTCGAGAATACCCTAATATTTCAACTTTGACAAACTTTTATGTACCTACAAACGAATTTAAAACGCAAACTAATATCGCTAGTTTCTTGAACTCAGTACACCTCAGTAATGATGAATTAGAAATGTAAACCCTGTGCGACTAAAACGCATCGGTATTTGAAGGAAGTTTTATTAATTACAAGGTTGGTTACAAAATTAATTATTCATCACATGAACAAGATATCACAATGAAAATAAGACAAATTCTCACTTGATATGTCGTTGAGTTAATATACGTCCAAATGAACTGTTGCTAACTCGACATAATTTACTCAACAATGATCCTACTGCAGGTGAACATGGTTTAGGTACATCTTCAGTTCTCGATAGACTCTCGCTTGACTCTGCACATATATCTTCATAGCTGAAATCCGAATCGTAGTCAGCATTATCAATATCATGAAAAGCATAGCTTTGGACAAAGGGTTTAGAGGAAGAATTTTCTCCAGAGGATTGGGGAGGTAACAGTTCTTCTATGTAGCTACCTAGTTCAGATTCAGGCCACATAGGGGACCTTTCAAATAATGCAGAAAGACGTGCTTCAACGCTTTCATCAGGTAAGTCTTCAGAGCGCAACAAAGAAATACACCGAAACCGAGAACTAATATCATTATTCTCACTTTTGACGCTAGAACTATTTGAAGGTATGGGAGTTATTTCGCAATATGCGCGTCCAGCACAAGTTAAATGACGTCGAAGCTTTGGTTTTAACCCATTAGGAACCGATGCTTTCCATAGATTTAGAAAATCATTCAAATCAAAGCTATTTATAACCGCCAGTAGATGCTCACCAACAGCTTGACAAATTTGTGAATTCCGTGGAAAGACGTATGTATCTTTTGAATCCGGTGGTTTTCGATTTTCTAAATGGGCACAAATTAACGCCATTATTTGCTTGGTAACATTTGGATGATGCTGATTTTTTAACCCCTCGATCGAAGCATTGACAGGAAAACCATGAGCACGCCAGTCCCAAGCGTTTTCATCAGCAAGAGCGAACAGATCTCTGATTACCTATTTTCAAGAAAACAGATAAGAAATATGTTTAGGAATTAGCACTTACTGAAAGTAAAAAGGTTTGAGGCTGAAGTATTATATCAAAAAACAGAGTTATTTGGAAATTTATTAACGTCTCTGGTGCTAATATAAACAGGTTCTAGTTTTCCAACATTGCATATTTATCTTACCAATAAATATCAGGATCCATGATGTTTATGCTCAGATATTCCTAAGAATTCGCTACATTAAATCATAGCCGAATACGGTTTTTCATGATAATCACACCACATAGTATACTCAGAACACTGAATACTGCCAAATGAATGACTACTAGGAATATGGGCTTATGACAATCTAAATCTTTGTAAAGAATGTCTCTTCAATTCACACCATGTGGGTATTTTCCACACTTTTTGTCAATCTAATAACAAAATTCGATGTTCACACCATCCACATCGTTACATAGGAAAACTGTCCCCCATATACAGTCTAATAAATTTCAATATCAAAACTGCCTGTGTTCACACAATATATTTAGACACCCCACCTCTGAGTCAGTACTGATGGAGTTACTAAGTCTGGTGCGAGACGTCAACTAAGTATCAGTGCTGACAAAATATTTTCGGTTAGGCATTTGCTTTCTGCAGATTTCCAACGCCAATGTAGCTACTTGATTATTCGACCCTAACCAATTGAGGGAAAAGCGAGTGGTGACCCTAGATATATTGGTTGTGTCTGTACTTTTCGCCAGATAGAGGCAAATGGGCAGCTATTCACAGTCAAACACTCGAAATTTTGACCAGTTCTAATAGCTAGGTTTTACATCAAAATCATCACCATTGGGCACATTGATTTCGTTTCTCACCATTAACTCAGTTTAAGCAGGCAGACAGAAACAAAACAAAGTCAAAACACTGGTCAACAGCTTTGTAAACACAGCAATTCAAATTCTGGCATATATTAAAAAGGTTAGACATTCTTTGTGTTTTCTACCGTACGGAACTTTATCGAGGCGATTACACAACAGTTGTTTTCCCCTAATTTTCAATACTTGCCTTATTTTGCAACGTTAAAGAAGTTGCAACGACTACGATTCATAAGCTTTTATCGTCAATGTGGAATTCAAATTGATCTAAGGACTTCTAGTTAATGATGGACAAATTTAAAATCTCTCATCTGTCGATATTCGAGTAAACAGGTAGTTTCATACGGTGATTAACAGTACATTACGTTTAAATTCTTTCCCAGTTTATTTTCACCTCCATTTTCTTAAATAATAAATCCTTAAAAATAATTGTATCCTGATACGGTAAACAATTACCATTTATACTTTATTGATTTAGGCGACTGTATCTCACGAAAAATGAACCAATTACTGTCTGGGTGCAACCACAAGAAAGCTCAGGAGAAACAATCCGACCTGATTTTTTAAAATAGGATACCTGTGTCAAGTATTCAGGATCCAAAATTCGAATATATCCCTCGACTTCACATATGCGTAATCTTCGGAACGCCAGCATAAGCTCAAATTTGCTACATGGTAGACGAGCTTGAACAGCTTCAAGATCTAAGTAAGCGGGGCGTGAAATCGTATCTTCAGATTCACATTCATCCTCAACAGGACCGTAATATAGAGATGACGCTAACATAAGTCTTAACTGCCTGAAGGAGGGAGCTGCACACTGATGAAGTTCAAAATAATTATTTTTCATAGCTTGAATCGTTGTGACAATTACTGAATTTTCCTTCGGATAGTCAGTTGAAGGTAGCCACCAATTAGAAGCTAGAAGAAGAGTATTTGAGGTTTCCGCTTCTATAACAGAGAAAGTTTTGTCATTTGTGCAAGCGAACACACGACCCATATTATTAGGCTTGTACTCATCTTTCAAAGTGATAACTTTATTTCCCCCTTCCTTAATTATTTCATCAGCTAAAGAATTCGGTACTTCAATCAACTTGTACTCTTCAGATGATAATGCAGAGTCGAATTTTACCGACTGAAATATGTTGCATGTAAATGAGCTATCCAATTTAGCACACTCAAGCAATTCTTTCATCGATTCATAAGTCCTTGTAGTTGACATATTTACAGCGAATCTGAAATGAAAGAACCGAATATACACCATTACAATGGTTGTTCTGATAAATTAAAATTGTAATCCAACTTTTGAGTTGAAAGTTATACATTAACAGTGTTACTAAAGACAATAAAATTAAACTGTTAGAATTAGTAATCCAACTGCCACGTCGGGTTGACTTGTCAAACCTTTTATTTCGACTTCTGAGCAAAAAACTGACCAAGCTCCCTGTTGTAAATTTGACAGAAGCTAAAGCTGCTGTACCGATAAGTAAACCCTTCTTTGTATAGCAAGCTTTTTGAAGATGTTAAATTAGATCAAAACTATGATGTCACAGAACAAACATTCACGCAATTGTATATTTGTTGGTGAGCTTTTCTATTGTAATTCTGACACTAATATTTAGCGATGCCATGGGTACGTCCGTCTCAGCTGGACAGCACCAACTGCAAGTTGTTCGACTAGATCTCAGACAACGATCAGCATACACCTCCATCCCATTCAGTGATGCAATTAGAGACCAGGAATATCCACAAGTAACAACAAACGAGCTAACTGAGAAATAGGTTTTACGTAAAAGAATGTAACCTTTCACAAAGAGATAAAAGGTTCGAAAATAACCTATGTAACAGGAAACTAGTGTCGCATGATGACGCACCTCAGCAGCAATTCCTAGATTACAATCACAGAAATAGACACTGATAATGGTTTAATAAAATGAGCGCATAACGTATTGGTTTTAAATATGGAGAGACATAGTATAAAACAACAGTGATCTGCTACTGATCGACTCGAAATATTTGCCGCAGTTTCAGGAATCAGGTAGGGTTGGACTGGTTTAATTCGCAAATGGTTTCTTGTAATGTTAACACGACAAACAGATTTATAGGCCAAAATAAGAAAACCAAACAAGGCACAGGTATGTATGTAACGATCAGAACCTGTAGCATGCTTATCAGCGCAGTTCCATAAGCAAAGTAACACGAGGCTCTGTACTCATCCTCATTTCATAACACACAAGCGAGTGATATTTATCGTGAACAATTATTACCTTATGTCAAACTCTATCAAGGAATTTCTTATTCGAAACGAAATATGCTAGTTGAGTATTCCCTGACCGATTTTAGGTACATATTCATACGCTTACAGATATAAGAATTTTCGGTCTTAGGAATAATTTGAATAATCTGAAGCACTGTCATGTCTTCTTCTTCGCGTCGCTACTCGTTTAATTTAAAATGACAATCCATTTGACAGATGTCATGATTAACTGTATTACACACTTCATGTAACTGAGAAGTTTATTCAAAGCTGACGAATTTGAATACGAAGAATAAAATGTGTTCGAAAAACCTACTAAATTATGCTTTTTCATTGTGTAACTACTGCCTCCCTTTGTAACAGTGTGAGAAACAAGATAATTAAAAAGATATTACAACGGACAAAAACAGGTATAAAGGGCAGTAATCTAATGGAAGTCAATGAAGATACTCGTTATTCAGATGGCAGAGAATACATTTTTGTGTCCTTTTATGACAATCAATGTTAGATTAAATAAGATTGATTTGCTCAAATGACAAATTAACGCAGGCCCATGAAGTGATGGGATGTTGGTGTGAGAACGAGTACATCGGGTGTACGGGGCCTTATTGAGGATCTCTCATAATGCTGAGAATTCCCTATGAAATCATTCGATGCTAATCACTAGGATTTTGAAAACGACTGTGCATTTTTCCATCTTCAACTACCCTATTATACATGAGCAGATGCCCACCTGTGGAGAGTTCTGTAACGATTCACCAGTCAACCAAAATTTATATTTATATCACCAAGGGTCTCAGCCAATTGACGGATAACGTTCTAATGGCCCCATCCACGCACCCTACACATGATCCAACCGACTAAGTAAAACGTCAGTGATTCACTTTGACTGACTTACATTATGCGTCCAATATCAATATGAATGACAACAGTTTCACTTAACTTGAGTAGTGAAGTGGATGAAACGTTATACTTTCACATCTACTTTCAGACGTCCACAGAGTGGGGCAAAAAGTGCTGCACAGCATACGTACTGGCCTAAAGATAACCTACTACCAACTGTTGAACTACTATTCGTCAGTAAACAGCTGATGTAAACGGTTAATACATCTAATCATCTCATTCGCTTCCTTTAAACTACGACTTGGTGAGACCAATTCTCCAGTGTTACCTTACACTTCAAATGAGTGAAGCACAGGATTTAGAAAATTGTTGCTGTCAGTATCCTTATATTAAAAGATGCAATCCTTAGTATACTTGAAATCAACCATAACTCCTCATGGCACTCTGTCAAATCCCATGACATCGAAGGTCGATAAACTCACTCTCTCTCTCTCTACATGTATAACTAAAATAAAAATGTTAGTATTGGGAAGCTCTAGGGGAAATCACTAGCTTCCATCACTTTATATGAAAGGGTTCAGACAAAAATTATAGACTATCTACGAAAACGCGGAATGACAAGTTGTACATATCAACGAGAAGTTGTTCAGCATTCCAACACTAGCTCGGCGGGCGCGAGCAACAATTACTCAGTCATACTAACAACTGGTAGGACAACTAGGACAAACTTACGTCAGTATTAACAATAAACAACCAGTCAGTAGCATCATTATAATACAACTGCAAAAGTTGTAAGAATCGATTACCAAAGCTTTTCTAAAGCTATTTGCCTCCTAAGGCCGACAACAATTTCCTAGTGCTGATGTCTTCTACAACCCACTAGCTTTCGGTATCTATCACCCCTTTCGTACTCGTTTCATTCAAGGAGCTTTTATGGTATGTCAGTGGTCAGTTTCACTGAGGAAATCGAGGTATACCGACCTCCTTAATGTAACCTCAGCAGGGATGCAGACTGCACATTTGCTAAATAGTATTGATGGCTGGCTGACAACGAAAGACGACGTTACTGTGAGGCAGGTCGCTCCGTCCTACCTAATGGCCTTGAGATGTAACCACCGGATATAAAAAACAGGCAAACGTTGCCACATTTCATCCACCAGTCCCTCAGTTAAATCCCCCGTGCTGAGCTTAACCACTCGATAATCAATGTCACTAAACGGATTGTGCTGAAAACGTTTGTCAATCGCGAGCCTGAATAGCTCAGTAGTAACATCTCTGACTGCAGCACTGGGTGACGCAGGTCAGAATCTCAGAAGGGACATAACTTCCTCCAAGGTTGCAGATACGCCACACTTATGAGTGCCAACTAGCACGTAACCTGGGTCCAAGGCTTCCTGGCGATTGTGAAGGCTCACTGACTGAGATGGCTAAGACTTATGTTAGGCATATTAAGCTACGACTTTTCTCGACGAGCAATGTTAGCCGTAACGTAAAGAAGAGAAAGTGTTGTATGTGGTGAGAACACAACATGGCAGCAATCCATAATATATGATTGCTACTTTCAGCAGTGTACGGATGTGAGAAAGTTCCTCAAAAAGTAACGTATTAGTGAAGTTGAATGCTATTTCGAAAGCTTGAAGTTACAATTCGACAGGCAGATTTCACACATGTTACGAATGACCACGAGTTCATAGGACAACACACAGTTCTAAATCCTGACGGCTAAAACAAAGTGAAATATTCCTAGATTAAAGATTCCTAGATTAATACCACTTATCAGTAGCATCAAACGATTTTAAAGACTACAGCCTACAGCATACTTATATCTCAAGCAAAATTAACTAGCATTAAACAAACTACTCAGTGATTTCAGTGGAGGTAAACGGTGATTGAACACCGACAAGTATTCACTCTGATGACAAAGTAAGTCATTATTATCCTTAACATTTTGTGCATGTGAATTATGACGAAAACTTGGTGGGAAGGAAAAATATTTACTTCTAAATCTTGGTAACGATGATAATGCATGTATAGTAAACGTGGTTAGCACATAGCAGTAGCGTATTTTTACAATCTGTAAGGCAAACTGCGCAACTTCTGCAACACGAAGGTTTTGTTGCGTCCTTTGCGGGATTTTAGTGACTGCGGAAAATCCAGCTTAAGCTCACCACATATCCATCACATATGCCTTGCTCCACCTCATATCTGTCTACATCTAATCTAACCTGCTAAAACGTTTCGTTTATGTGCTGAAGCTGTAGTACTGCCTGCAATGTACTTAAAGTTAAATTTGGGAAGGAAATTTACTCCAAGTTGCCCAGATATTCGCAACATAAATAAGGTACACAAAATAACTCGAACTGCGTGAGAATATTTGAAATTCTTATATCGCTGTATATATTTCATATAAATCCAACTTTCTCGCCACAACCACGCTGTCGAAAAGTCATTTTGAGGAATGAAAGAAAAAGAATAATTACACTCAAACGTTGTACGACGACGAAAAACTTTTGCTAGACATAAAATTGGAGGTACAGTCTAACGGATGGGAACGACTAATATAAACAATTAAGTTGACAGACTCCCCTCAATTTTAGTATAATAGACACTACACAATATGATATATCAAGCAACCTGGGACAAAGTATGTATTAAGAGAAGAACGAAAACGTTGTTGAAGCACTCTATAAATAACGACCGTCTCAATAAAAAAGGCCACAAGAGTCATACACATAAGGATCTAGGCTATGGCGATCCAGTGACCACCAGTTTTAGAACTAAAACCTTTGAACAACCTATATCAATCTTGGCGCACTAAACAGTTCTAATTTGGTACTACGCCTACACTATCAAATTTCAATTAGTTTTATAAGCCAGCTAGTAATAAATTGCCAAGTGCTTATTTCTGCCGTTGTGGAGGAATTTTATTTCTTTGACTGTTCTCCGTGTTCTACGTCACTTGCGATTGTTCTCGCAGACGGCTACTAAGGTGGACGTTGCCTTGACGTCATTGAATACCTCAGAAAGTTATGAAAATCGGTAGGGACAGTAGCATATAGTTTCAATATCCGGCATTCATCTTCACTGTTTTAGTGCGTTGGTTGATGTCACGGCCAATTGTTTTGCGGTCTTCTCAAGTGTTTTGAAGTGCCTTTTTGGACGTACTGCATATATATTTCGAACACAGTTCCTCTTAAATGACTGAGGCTTATAAAATGGCTAATTGATACATTAACGGTAGGTTGGGGCACTGCGAAACGAATTAGGTTGTATCTGCTTTTATTCATTCACCTTTG